AGCTCAAGAGTTGGCGGTGGGTGGTGATGACTAGCTGCCTTTCCTCTAGTCTTACACTGCTAAATTATGGAAGGCTAGCGCTGATAGCCCTCGTGTAGCTTTGCGTGAAATTCAAAACAAACAATCAAACACAAATGGTTGTTCCTGACAAACTTAGCATTAGGTTAGCGTAAGAGACACTTGCATAAAAACTGAATAAATGCAATCATGTTGTTAAGTATGTAGTTAACAGTATGTAGTATGTAGATTTTCAGTCTAATCTGAAGATCTAAGAAATTCATTATCCAATGGTAACAAGAAGAGGGCGTCCTGTTTGTGTTTAAACTATGTCCTGTTTGCAGTGAACTAACGAATTATTAATTAATCATAGACTACTATTTTTGGTGAAAATGAAAGTTTTCATTTGTCTTTAAAATAGTTTATCGAGCAATTTAGGGAAACCAGACTCCAAATATGTATCTTGAAATGCCTCTACGAACATAAAAATCTTAATAGCCAAGTTCAAGTTTCTCTAGCGTCATTCAAAATCGGTGTCTTGAAATATACCTGTTTGTTTAACTGGTACCCAAGTCAGTGTCAATATTCAGTGATCAAGAAGATTACAGGTTGGAATTTTAAACTGATCTATTGGTGTTTCCACAGCTCCCTATAAAGTTCTGAAACTTTTTTTTAACTTTTAACAGCGTGGAATATCTTTGGACACTTGTACGCGATTCATTACTGATAGCACCAAGTTTGATTATCTTTAATTTAATTAATATACATAATTACTTCTCCAGTAACGATTCTTTTTAGTGTTGGATGCCTCAGGAAAGATTACAGCTGGAATTTTGGACGGGTCATTCACAGATTTTGGCTCCTATGACCAATGCCTCAATGTCGTCGTTTCCAATCGAAAATCGAAGGGAATAAGTTTCCGTGGAAAATATTGTTTCTTGCAGGTTCATCCTGAATTTCCTTCAGGATCAATTCCACCGGATTCCAAGCTACAAGAAACGGTAAGGAAACCTTTTACGAATGAAATATTCAAAACGATGACAACGGATTTTTTTGTTTTTGTTTTTAATTTTCTACTTAAAACTAGCAAAAAATGAGTCGATGTCAATATTTTACAATTAAGAAAATAAAGAAATTTAATGATGACATTTGATTTTGGTTTATTATGGATTATCGAGCAGATGAAGTGAATTGTTGTTGTTGTTGTTGTTTTCTTAGTGCAAAGTTATATAATGGGTTATCTTCACTCTAATTTCAAATTTTCGGAGGTGTTAAGAATGAGAAGTAAAATATCTAAACATAGCGTACTGATTTTCTATTTACTCGCTATCTATAGTATAGTACTCCTGAATATTAATAATTCTACCTAAATGATGTGACGGAATGATCTAGAAAATAAATCGTAGTCACCAGGAACTTTGTTTGAGAACTTGTTTGTTTAATAATGGTTGGAGACGGCTTGAATGGGTAATGAAGAAAAACTTTAATATAAGTTTAACATAACAGCAAATGTACCTGCTGATAACAAAACCTTGTAGTCGTGGGAGG